TGAGGGTAATTCTTTTGGGAGTGACGAAGACGAAGGAAAGGGAAAGGGGAGAAAGGAGGATGACGACGATGGAGCAGAAAAACATGGAGGAGTGGAAGAGAGCAAAGGGTTTGAGCCAGATGACCTTCCCCACAACAAGAAACGTAGGGCTAGGGAAGAACTGCCCAGAGATTCTTCTTGTCGAAATGAGGATCAGAATGATGGTAGCGAAAACAAGGAGGACACTGGTGAAAGTACTCCTAAACGAACTCGAGTACTAGGTAATAGCCTTGGTAGACGCGTTCATTTTTCGTCTGTTGCTGCTGTTTCTGTTTTTAATCCGAAGGATAGCTTAGCCCCATGCTGCCCCCTCACGGGGTCCCAGTTCATGGTAGATAAAAGTGTTTTGTGTTTTCAACCGCACTAAGACTGACGTCTTTTCATTGGTCAGCCGGTTAGCGCGGTCGATGCTAATAATAAAAACACACACACACACACACGGACATCAATTCGAGAACAGTAATTAATTCAGGGGTCGGGCTGACAGGCGGTGTATTCAACGTGCGCAGAACCCAGGCGGGGAAACAAAAAGGACCCATCTAAAACAGTTTTTTTGCGAAAAAAAAAGCTCCGCTATCGCTCCGTTTTTTCATCGCACGCGCGCTTCGCGCGCGGAAAAAACTCCTACTAGTCTAACATTTGACGCTGTCGATTCCCGTGGTCTCAGGCTAACTTACCCAAAATAGGTACGTACGAAGAGGGTTGGCAAGTGAGTCAAAATATTCGATGCACTCTTGTGCACCCCGGGGAACGCATAGTCTACAGAGGCATGCACCCACACTTACTTGGAAGTCCCGCCATTAGACTACAGACGTGCACGAGCATCGTTTACCTCGCAAGAGCGACCTACTACTGTATTGGCCTACTCCAAGCACCAACAACCTAGCACCTACCCACGTCAGAAATCAACCTGTAGCACCCATTACCTGAAATACACTGAAAAGTGTAGACTACTACTCTACAGACGCTGAAAAGTAAGTGTAGTACACGTCTCACCACGAAAATGGGGCGACTGTCGCCATAATAAATAGGACGAAAACACACAAAAACCACACACACACCTGGCGCTGATGCCGGCACACCTAGGAACTTAGCCACCCAGGGCCAACCTACACAGCACAGTATGTAGCACCTGTCGGAAAGAGTTAGGGTGAGAGATAGAGCTTACAGCCGGTGTCATGCCCCTTGCCAAGGCAGCGAACTTTAGTGAAGAAGTACAGAATTGCTTTGACTGAAAATTAACTGGTGGCCGGTTGAAGTGCCGCTGCTGCTGCAGTCAGTGACGAAAACGGGTTCGAGGCGCAATTTTTCGTTCTTTTCTTCGTGCGTGGGATTTTTCGGCCTGTGGAGGGTGTGGGTGCATGGAATACATGGGTCACCCAGCACTCTGCGTGAGATATCCCAATGTAGTTGCAACGAACAAATGGTCTCCACAGTAGAATCTACAGCAGTTTCAATCTTCGTCATGCCGGGCATAGCGCCGGGAACTGTAAGACGTCTTTGCGCACCAGCACATCGTGCCCATGCGCAAGCATGTGTTGCGGTTGCACCCAGCGACATGCAAGCACCAAGCTATGCATTCTGCGCCCACTCCCGTGATTCTTCAAACGAGCCCTTTGTGACCCCACTCCCCCACGGCGAGCTGAAGCCGAGGCTGCCACGGGAACAAGCCGCCGCACTTAAGCCCCTTGCCCATTTCACGCTTCATAGTCATGGACCAGAAAACACGCGTCTAAGAACGATTGGTTTTCACAGTAGCATGTACACCAAGAATTTGTCCACACCCTTTCCAGCTGATCCCTACCGTTAAGTCCTAACTCGCCGTGGGTAGCACGGGAAGTTCCAGTGAGCCAAGATGTCTCGCGCCTGAACGAGTGCCATTGGCAGTTGCCAGAGGTAGTATCAACGATTACTTCACTCTGCCGCATCCCGTTCCCCTGTCCCACCGCTTCGGTATCTAGTTTAATGCCCCAGGTGCTACTTTCTTTCCATGCAATGACCGACGAAGAGTCATCGCGACACCGCCCCGAGAACGCCCCTGTTGTTGCGATCGATCCACGAAGAAGCAACAAGCGGTGTTATGGTTGCGTCGCGGTGAGAGTTGCTTCCTGAGATGGCCGTCTGCCATATACGCACCACCAGCCCCCCTGACACGTAACTACAAGAGACTCTACCTGCAAACATGAGGCCGATTTCGGAGTGACCGATGACCAATTCTAAGCTTGTTGAACGTGGAGGCGGGAAGGAGAGAGGACCTCGGCAAACATCGCCACATTCGGGCTATTCCCAATCATCAATGATAACCTCGGCCGCCGATCGCAAGTCCGCACTCCGGGCAGATCCTGGACCCGTTCAGCCTACCACAGCCTCCCACACCGTACACGTGACCGTTCGGGCATTTGTGGTACGTCGTCACCCCACCAGAGAGGCCGGGGTCCGCAGCCACGGCCATCACGATATCCACCTCCTGCGGAAATAGCGGTGACCAGACAAGAATTTGGAGGGAATCATTCTAACGCCGCCCGGGGAATGATAGCTTTATCCGTTTCCCATGTAGCCAACTCACCTGCTTTGGGGATGTATATAACGTGAAGTATCTCACCATTTGGGAAATTCCTTTCATGGTTTCGTCGAGGTGCAGGAGGTGCTTCATGCTCGTCTCCACGTGTTCTTCGTGCTGTTGCCGCACGCTGCCCAAGGAGATGCTCGCCACGGTCCTGCATTCATTGATCCCTTCTTGGACCTGCGACATCCATCGAAACGTCGGGAGAACCAGTCGGATTTCTCGGATCGGCTTGGACGGTCGAAGCCAATCAACGGCAAGGCGGACAAACCTCGGAATTCCGCCAATCGCAGAAAGGTTCGTCTCAACTACGGGGGTACGGGGCCACAATAGAACCTCGTCGGCCGTGCTCGGGATGCACTATCGCATACTTGGCACAAATTGTAAAGTTCAAGTCGTACCATTTGCCTCCCGATGTTGGTGAGCGCGTGTGTGTCACGTTCGACGGAAGCCCCCTCCGCCAAACAGAGATCCTTGCTGACAATCATGCACTGAGCCCCCTGAAGGTAGAGATCGACCAGTGTCATCTGATATCGAGACATGCCCGGAGACAGCGACGAAAGGGGGCTGAAACAATGGTCGATCCTGCCGTTTTCCGGGCAAGGGGAGTCTTGCCAATCAACGGGGGAGCGAACTTTGTCAGAAACGTTTGGTCCGGTGACACGTGCTGAAGCCGATTCTCCCTGGACACCTTGCGTAACCTTTCTTGTCTCTAAATTTTACCTAACGACAAAGGGTAAATGATAAAAAACGCACGTGGTAAAGTTTTTCAAGCGCATCCCCATGCTTTTTCCTCTACGGCTAACCCGCGGAGAGAGCTGGAAATGGTTTTCCCCCCTGCTCACCCTTGCCGCCGCGCCCGCGGCCATTGCACGCGCGGCAACGGCTTCTTGAACCGCGGCCAGGAGGGTGCTCTTACCCTGCCTGTACTTTTGGCTAGTGGTTGCTTCAAGGGTCTTAGCGCGGTTGATCGCTTGAGCCCGGCGGGCGTCTTGAGCCCGGCGGGCGTGTTGAGACTCTGCGTTCGCCGTAGGTGGTATCCTCTGCATGGCTTGTGTCAACGATGTCGATGTGCATGCCACGGAGCGTACCGCCTGTTGTTGCCGGGCGTGGTGTGGTGTTGCAGGCGGTGGGGTGAGGCAACGCGGAGCGAAAGCGGGCTCACAGCATCTCCAAGTCGCGGGAAGGATATGAAGCATTTTGCGGGAGACTCAACACAGAAATATGTGAATCGCACCTTCGAAAACGGGAATGATAAAGAGGCAATCACCCAAGCTGTGGACACCCTGTACCACTGTTGGCCGTAGTGCTTCGTTTGACAACCGCTAAGACTGAAGCAGGCACAAAATTGATCGGTAATTTTCGCTGGCACGCAGAGACTCGCCGCCAAAGCACCCACCTTTTCCAGCTGCAGTCGGCATGCCTCCAGCTGTAGCGTCCGGAGTTGACCAATCCCAGTCATTGCCTTGGCGCGGACACTATGGTCGGGTTGAAGGCGAGATACGGTGGCCAGCTCGTGGGCCGAAGCTCCGGCACGCATGAGGGTGGCAGTGGCAGCTTCGAAAACCTGCGTAGGTGGTGCGTGGGAAGTAAACCACGGAGTAGAAGCCGAGCCATCGACGGTCGGAAATTCGAAGGAAAATCCCGGCTGGAAAATAGGGTTTGTGGCTGTCGCAAGCTCCATTGTGCGAGTGAGTGCGATTTGAGGTCCAGCGAATCAGCATAGCCTGTCGATCATAGTTTTTCGGGCTGCTGCAGAACTGGTATTTTTGAATGATCCGCTCCTTGTGCTCCAACATTCAAGCCGTCATTCGCGCATAGCGCAAATGCAGGGCTTCTGCTATTTTCTATACCAACCAGGCGTCAATAGGCCAAGGTACGGTGAATGGTCTACGGTAGGTTCCGAACAGAATACTAGGTGGACAAAATAGGCGACGAAGCAACGCCATTTTCCACACGGTGCTCTAGAACACCAAACCTCACCCGCGTGCACGGGGTCTCTTGTGATGCTTGGATTACCCTCTTGAGCGTCCCTTCCGCCTGCCTCATGCTAAGCGAGGGGAAACGGTTCGATGTGGAGCGATGACACGAAGCGGGTCGTGCCCACAGCTTAGTGGGAATCATTCTAAATGCTGCGAAAGACGATGCCGTGCTGCTGAACTGGCAAGCACAAAATTTGCATTGGTATGTCTTGAAGAATGGTGATAACCGCGGAGGCTTTTTGGGCGATACATCAACGTCAGCTGCGGTGACATGGCCGAGAGGTAGCCGCAGCTAGGGGTCGTATGACGTTGTCACCCGGAGACAGTCATGAAAACAAATGGGGCAGCGTGGCATGAACAGCGCAGCCGATCAATGAAGCTGTATGACGCGCACAAGAGGCCAACGGCATGTGTTTGGGCGTTGCCCTACCGATTGTTGCGGAGCTTGGGCTTCGTTCCGTCAGCTGCAGCCACCACCAGGTCTGTGTGAGCAAGCGCAATCTCCTTCCTGCACCACTCAGAGTGTTTCACCTCCGCCATGTCCATCTGGGATGTATCGAGACGGCCATGCGAAGGGTAGAGAACGAACGAATTGAGGCTTCGGCTTATTTCCCGGATGTTGAGGCAATATGCGTTGCCCATCTGCCCGTTTTTTGTTCTTGTTCGTTTGAGCCGCCCCCTCCCACTTTCGTCGGCGACGATACCCCGCAACCTCAAAACTTTGTCCAATAATATTATTCTGCGAGCTAAATTACTCCCGCAAGGCTTTGCGTTAGGTGTTCACCGGCCGGCCAAGCAGTTACCATATCGAGCGTGTTACCCTGGAGGTAACAACCTACGGAGGAAACATTTCACGCGCAGAGGTACAGAACCAATAGTTCATCCACTGTTTCGTCCCAGACGTGTGAAATCCCCCACGTGAGGATCGTACTCGTAGCGGTCCTCATCACCTGGCTCACCCGATCAGAGTATTGTCGGTTACTTTGTGCATTCTACGATCAACAATTGTTTTTCGTCGGAGCATAGAGGCTTCCTTTCACAAGCACCCAGACTACCGACGTGTGTTTGCCCCGTCCGTGCCAACGTACTTGGTTTGTTACCGTCCTCAGCAATCACAACGCAACGATCAACAAGGGCCCAAGGAGCATTTGTATCAGAACGACCGACACCATCGTCTCGCCTTCGCCTTGTTGGTGACGCGGTTGTACCGCGACACCCCGGACACCGGGGCACGGCAGTCCGGGCAAAGCTTAAGCTTGCTGCAGTCGGATTCGAGAGGCAGCGGCGCGACCCACCTCCCGCTCTTCTCGTCCTGCCAGCGACGTGCAACACCATGGTAAGGAGATTGGGTTTGACCGGGAGGAAAGTGTTTGGCAGAGGATCGCCACGGGCAGGCAAAGCAAGGCGAGGGATGCGATCGACCTGGAAATTACGCCCATACGGCCTGAATGGTGTACCGTCGTTTCGTGTCGACAGACTTACCTTCGCGCAAGCTGACTCGAGGCCCAGGAGGCCGTCCAGGGTGGTGAGCGTGTAGGCGTGGCCGCAGCCCAGCACGATGATTGGGTCGATGGACGGGTCGTGGTCCTTGAGCCTTTCCGGGGCGCAGAGGGAGTTAACCACACGAAAACAACGAGAAGTGTGGGGCAGGGAAGTGCGGCGGCGCCCATTGCAGGTAAAAGGCTTAGAACCTTGTATTATAGTCGAATGACGCAAGAGAAGCCAACACATTCTGGCGGGGAATGCACGTTTCGGCTACTGCACAAGAGCTGTGTGGTATCCCTGCAGCACGCGTATGCATGAAGGATACGAGAAGGAACATCCAGATCTTGGTGGGTATTCTTCATCAGATGCGAAGTCGGTACCTTTCGAAACGAAAGTCTATGTAGGGCTCTGTGGTACACGTAACACCCTCACGTGGTGAACTCCAACATGTCCACCACTTGCGTCATGGCGGGCGTGTCCACCCTGGCGCACTCCCTGCAGAATTCCGACCCGGGGCAGTCCTCGCCGCACACGGAGGGGCAACGGTGGCCGCAAGGCAGCTTCCTCTCGCAGCGGCTGCGCAGGGTGCAGACAGAAGTGACGTAGTTGTAGCGTCGTGAGGTGGCGGGGCTTTGATACGGCAAAGGAGGGGGGTTTTCCTATGCATGAGGATGAAAAAAACATTGGATGGCCAACGGTGGAGGTCTGTTTGCAACTGAACAGAGTCGTTCGGGTGGCCCGAAACGTCCTCGGAGTGTCACCGTGTCACGGGTGTCAGC